TTAAATAATTTGTGGATGATTAGAATGGAGAGCATGGAGGGGTGGTACCTCATTTGAATAAAAGGAATAACATCAGATTGTGCACCATCTAGGGGAGGGTGGTGGGGAAAATTTTTTAAATTTTAAATTAAAATTTTATTTTTATAAATTTTTAAATTAAAATTTTAAATTAAAATTTTTTAAATTTTCAAAAGCATATGGAAGTGATTATTGATAAATCAAAATAAATTAATAAAAAAATAAAAGGAATAACAGAAGCAGTTATTTCCTTTTTTTTTTTGACTGGGTAATTAGACTGGTAGATCAAAGGAATGTAATAGATTTTGTTTACCTCCATCTTAGCAAAGCATTTGATACCATCTCTTGTTATATTTGTGGCAAAGATAGAGAGATGTGGGCTACATGAGAATATGGCTAGATAGATTCATAACTGGTTGAATGGCTGGACCTCAAGAATAGTCATATTAATGTTGTCACTTTGGAAAGAGATCTCTTACCAATCTGTACTTGGGAGACCACAAGCCAGGAGCTAATGGCATTGAGGGAGGTAGGCAAGTTTAACCTGAAATGGGTATTTTGGGTATATCTGGATGCCGTGAACCTCAAAGGTAAAGAGGAGAGGTTGCTAAGTGATAGTGACAGAGTAGGAGCTGGGAAGTGGCAATGGGAAGAAAGAAATATACCAATTCCTCTTGGCCCTGTGAGCTGGGGGTGGGGTGGGGTGGGAGAGCATGGTAGAAGAAGCAGTGAGCACTGAACAGGGTGTTGAAGGATGTAACATCTTTAGAAAAATCAAGATTTCAGTTAATGCCCAAAGATAGGAAGGGCATAAGAGGAAGAAATAGGATTAAGAGTTTATTAACCATGGAGCATGGGTCCTAGTCAGAGGTATAGCTAGAGTGAAAGTGGAAGTTTGCCCAATGGCACTGGAATCTGGGGGCCACTTCCTCCCTTCATGCTCTCCATCCCTTTGCATCAAGATCTTTTGCTGGCTCAAATATCTCCCAAATAAAAGGTCCTCTGCCATCTTGCACTATCCTCATTTCCTCAACAGGAATTAGGAGACTTTCTCCTAGGTCTAACAACAGAACAACAGAAGTGTTTATTCTTAAATCTTCAATGTGAGCATTTACTTTTTGGAAATAATAATAACAATAGATAACATTTATACAGTGCCTACTATGTGCCAGACTCCATGCTAAGTACTTTATATCCTCTCAGCAACCCTAGAAGATAGGTGCTATTATTACCCCTATTTGACAGTGAGTAAACTGAGGCAAACAGAAGTTAAATGACTTGTTTAAAGCCACAGAGCCAGTAATAGCCTAAGGCCAGATTTGAACTCAGATGTTTCTGACTCCAGGCCCAGTACTCTATGCCCTGTGCCACCTCACTGCCTCCATCAGCAAACAGTACAAATCAAAGCTCGATTTATTATTTGTGGATTGTCTCTGGACTTAAAGTGATGGAGAAAATTTTAATAATGCAGGCTAAACTTAAAAGGGTGTCATGCTTACATTTTTTTTTTCTTTAAGACCCAGTTAAACATTTATCAGCACATCTTTGGAGCCACCTTCTCCCAGGGAAGATGAAATAGTAGTAATCAGCAACCATGACAGAGAGGTACAGGTCAGATTCCCTTGGGGACAGGGGTCAACTATTGTCTATAGCAGATAGAGAGCAGGAATCAAGAGGACCAGAGTTCAAATCCGACCTCAGATACTTCCTAGCCATGTGACCCTGGGCAAGTCATTTAATCTCTTGTGTGCCTCAGTTTCTTCAAAATGAGGATAATAATAGCACCTAACTCACAGGGTTGTGAGGATCAAATGAAATCATATTTGGAAAGTACCAGTGCCTGGCACATAGTAGGCACTTTATAAATGCTTACTCAGCCCCACTCCCATCCCCGGGGATGGGAATGAATCTGCCCCAGGCCTAAGAATTGGATTCCCATGAGAGGTCATGAATTCTTCATCATTGAAGGTCTTCAGGGAGCCTGGGAGGCCACTTGGTGATTCCATAGAAGGTTTTCCATTCAGGTATAGATTGGAATAGGTACCCTGCAAGGACCCCTCTAAGTTTTGATAATTTTATTACAGACACTAAGAGTCTTACACATTGAGACAGATATCAATACCCAGATAGACCGAAAAAGAAACACTGAACTAAATGAACACAGAGACCCACCTATAGAGATTAACATACACAGGGAAGGTGAGGCGGACACTGGGTAAGGAAGGCAGTATGGTATAGTGGAAAGACCCAAGGATATGGAAGCAGGAGTAGTTATTACTTGGAAGTGTGTCTTTGGGAAAGTCAGTCCACATCTGTAAAAGAAGAAAATTGGGCTAAATGACTCCAGGGGTCCCTTCTAGCTCTAAATCTATTTATACCAGGGAACAAAATAGATAGAAACCTAAGTTGAAGTCACAAAGAGAACTGAGCCCCAGCTGACTGGGCCATTCTCACCAAAGCCCTTGCCTAACTCTCTGCAGCAGAAAGTTGGAACCATCAGCTCAATGCCCAACCCTGACCCGCTCCCCCTCAAGTGTTCCCTGCAGAACCAATCTGCCAGGAATAGAAGTACCACTACTCCCATTGCCTTCCCCATTCTCTTCAAGCTTCTGGATTGTCCTTGGTCACCTTGCCTTGCCTTCTACCTGCCCCCAAAGCTAGGAATTAAGCCCTGTCCCCCTCCATCTGGGAGTCCTCTGTTACAGACCATGGTGGGGTGGGAGATGAATGTTGTTCTTCTTTCTCATCCCCTCTTCTCCTTTTCCTGCCCCCCAGATATGAAAGCAAAGGTGGCTGCCTTAAGTAAAGAACCAAGGTTCAAAGCAGAGTGGATCCCCAAAGTCAAAGACCCTCACATAGCCACCAATTTAGTTCAGGGCCTCAAGACTCCTCCTTGAGGCACAGCTGCCAAATTGATATTCCCTAAAGCTCAGGTCTAACCATGCTACTCCCTTATTCAGGAAGCTTCAATGGGTCCCCTTATTGTCTCTGGCAATTTAAAGCCCTTCATGATCTTGATCCAACCTCTTGCCAGAATGCTTACACATTACTCCCCTTCATGGACCTCCTGGATGTTCCTTATACATTAAATCCGCTCTCCCCTCTCCACACTTTGGGAGCAGAGAATTCAAATGGTGGGAGTTACCCAGCAATGGCAGTTGCCGAGGGGAAGGCAGGCTGATGCTGAGGAATTTCAGGGCATCATGGAAGACAAAACTGATGGTTGGAGTACTTAGAGTACTTGGGTTCAAATTCCAGCTCTTCTAGTTACTTAAGGTAGGATCATACAGACATAAATAAAAGAGACTACCCAGGTCATTAATCCCAATTCTCTCATTTTACAATGGGGAAACCAAGGCACAAAAGGATGACTCAACATGGCACAGGTCATGAGGAACAAAGAACCCATTCTCCACCATATCACTGTTTTTAAGTTACTCAATCATGCCCTCAGTAGCACTTCAGAACCATCACACAGAGAAATGTTGACATCCAGACATGAATAGCACACATACCCAGACACAGACACAAAGATACGTACAGGAAAATATGTATGAACTCACAGCGAGGCACTTGCAAACACAAATGGGCACATGTGTACTTGCTAACACAGGCTTGCACAGACATGCACGTATAGCTATCCATGAAGCAACCCCAGCCTACGGGCAAAGACCTGGTGTCCTAAGTCTAAGGGGCCCTTTGAGGGGGTCTCCAGGGTGCTTTCCTCACCCCTTGGAAAGGAATGCATTCCTGCCATAATCCCTGTTCACCCTGGCCTAGAGACTTCCCAGAATACCATTTCATCAATTCACCCCAGCCACTAAGAATCAACAGTGGTTTCCTGTTATCTCTCAAATTCAAAGCCCTTACTTAATTTGACCTCCACCCTACTGTTCAATAGATCTTATCTTTATTCCTTCCTTTAGTCTTACCTTCTGCCACTAAAAGACTAAGAAAATATGGCCTTCCAGGTCAAGAGGGCAGAGTAAGGACAGATCAGTCTCTCCCAAAAGGACTGGTTTTTGAAGTCGGGAGATCTAGGGGAATAGAAGTGGTGCACATAAGGAGCAGAGTTCCTTGGGAAATGTTTCCAGTTCTTGGAGTGGGAGGGATAGATTTCCTAGGGGTAGAGCTCAAGTGATAGGTAGACTCATCCCTGCAAATGAAGGGGATGAGCAAAGATCTCAGGACAGCAGTGCCATCTGCTGGGAGCATTAGGGATTGGCCTTCACTCTGGTGAGGAGAAACTCCTACATGGAGAGATCCTGGGGACCTTGGCTCCTGGCATGGATACACATGTCTCCTTCAACCTTCATCCATCAGTCCTACCCCAGGTTACAGCCGGGGACATCCCTTCACAGGTTGTCATTGCTCCCAACGATTCCAGCCTAAAGACCTTCTCTTTCCAAAAGGTCACCCATTGTGCCCTAATCCCACTGCATCCACAAGGGAAATCAGGTTATAATGGACAGGACCAGGACAATAGTAAAGGAGGCAAAAGTAACAATAGGGCCGTCAGTCAGGAGCTTCGCCCTGTGACAGTTAAGGAAGTGCCCTGGCAAGCCTGGGCCTAGATTCTGGTCCCTGCCTCAGACAGGAACTCCCAGAAACCAGACTAGCTCGGGGACAAACCCTGGTGGACTCCAGGAAATGAGCTCACATTTATGTAGGACTTTGTGTTTTACATATATGACCTCATAGAGTTGTACAACAATTATCATGCTGGTACCACAGGTATTGCTACCTTTTTACAGATAAGCAAACTGAGGCTGAAAAACAAATGAACCCAAGTCAATGGGGTGAAGAAGAGGCCATGAGAATTCCAGGCAACGTGAGAGCAGAGGGGGACATGGTGCCTGTGAGAGGACTGGACCAGCTCCGCGATCCAGAAAAAAGACAGCTATTCTGGTCCCCAGAGGAGCCGCAGCTTGATCTGGAAAGAGGCCCGAGCCAAGCAGTCAGGACAGAAGCAAAGCAAGGAGTGTGAAGTATTTAGACTTTATTTACAGTTTCAACCACACCCTGCCCCCCCACCCCTTCAAAGCCACTTCAGAGACAGGCTTGCAGTGAGGAGGAGGGGCGTGCCGGAGGGCTCCTCACTTCCTCTGAGCCAAGGCCCTGGCACGCTGAATTTTGTCAGCTGTGGCTCCGTCTGAAGCCCCCGTGCAATGGGACAGGACGAGGCTCAGCTCTGCCTCATTGCGACGCTCAATGGCCACATCGGCAGCCTGCGTCACATCCCTGAAGTGGAGGGAGGGGAGTCAGGTCAGAGCTTTCCCCGAGGCCTCTCAGTCACAGAAACACAGAGAGGCCTCCTCTCCCTTCTCCCTCTGTGCACAGATCCTGCCAACCCCTGCCCCCAAAGCATACCCAATAAGGAGGAAAGCCTTGACTTTCTGCTCAGGGCTCACTCGGGCAGCAAACTTCTTGGCCTCGAATTTGTTGCGTCGCTTCATGCACACTTCAACAAAGGGCTCAGGGAGAATGAAAGGACAGGGAAGTCACTACCCCAGAATTTAGTTTCAAGGCACAGCCTAGCCCTGCCCTGCTCCAAGCTGCTTTCTCCAGGATAGGGCCCTTTGGACCACCCCTCTCCCCTGGGAGCTTTTCAAGGGCAGCTCTGAGTTGCGGTGGATAAAGAAAGGCTAAGTTTCTCCTGGGGTGGGGTGCAGAGGGGTAAAGACTGGGAGGTCCCTCCTCACCAGATACCCAATGGGTGATTTTTTGCTTTTGGAAAACTTTTCTAGCTCTTCCCAGTCTTCCCGATCAGCCAATGCAGTCAGCTTTAACCACCAGAACCTGGGAGAAGAGGGAAGAGAAACAGACAGACAAGATCACTGGCAGCCAAAAGGAGATGAGAGTAGATCCAGGATCTGGAGGAAGAATGTCCGATGCCCAGCCTGGCCCCGGGATCCAGTCGTGCCTTTTGTCAGGGATTCGGAAGTCCCGGGCCAGCTGCTCGGCACGCTTGTTGTTCCCACTGAGGAGGAGAGAAGTCACAGTGTCGTGCAAGGACAGGTCCAGGAAGTGCCCACCCAGCTCATCCTCCAGGCGCCGCTGCAGCCGCAGCAGCCGCATCTGCTCCTCTGTGGCCTAGAGGGGTAGAGGACAGTGAGACCTCCACAGGAGGAGGAGAAGTAAAGGGGTAACGTGTGGAGGAACGAGGGAAAAAATAACAAGATGGGAAGTCTGGATGCCTCCCAGGGCAGCGGGGGCACAGGATGTCAATGCCAAGTGCACCCTCCCTCATTTTATAGAGGAGGAAACTAGGCTCTGAGAGGGAGACTCGCCCCAGTTTACACAGGAAGTCAGCGACACAGCCAGGACTGGAACTCAACTTTCTGACAAAAGGGCTTCTGGGTGAGAGAAGGAGTGAGGGGTGAGGGTGGGGCAGGAGGAGGGGGAGACCGTCAACCTTAGCAGCAAACTCATTCTTGGCCTTGTAGTACTCATCAACTGCAGTCTGAAGGGCTGCGACTCTGCCCTCGATCCGCTGCAGGAGAGAAGGGCAGAGCCTGGAGATCTCAGAGAATCCCTCTCTGCATGCTCTGACCCTGCAGCCTGGTCCTCATGCCCCTCTTCAGCTTCCCTTGCACCTAGCAACTGTGCCTCAATTATTCTCGGGGTCACATGTGGGCAAAGGGGATATCTCACAACAGGTCCTTATGGATTGCTGGGGCCTCATTTCTGGGAGCCATGGACCAACTCCACTGGACAGCTATCCACTGCCTCCCTGACCAGAACTCATGTCCCTTGTCCACAGGAGCATCCCCAGGCCCCTGACCTCCTCAGCAGCATAGCTGGCCCGGATGTGGAAGTTGCCAAGCTCCTGGTGATTGTCGTCTTGGTTGTAAAGATCCTTCAGCGTCTCTAGCTCCTGGTGCTTACAGAACTGGGGAACCAATCAGGGTGAGGCTTGTCAGCCAGAACCAGTCAAGGCTTGCCATCAGCATCACCCTCACACGTTCCCCTTCCTCCTCTCACACACCTGTCGATATAGACTCAGGGCCACAGGCTGATTCCTGAGGGTCATGAAGAAATCTCCACGATTCAGCTCATTCTTTAGGTGCAAGACAACTGTAAACACTGTGAGGCCAGGGAGAAGTCACTAAAGGCTTCCTCCCAACCTGTCCCCACTACAGGAGAGGCCCAGGGGTTGGGGGACAGATGGACCTTTGCTTCTCCTGTGGACAGCAGGAGAACTGAGGCAAATGCCTAATGTGGGGCCCTGGTAACTTGGGAAAGGAAATGAATAAACATCCAAAAGATAAAGAACCCAAGGGCCCTGGGAATAAGAATTTGGCCTACCCCAGCTCTAGAGGCCAGAACCAAGAGTGGAGTTAGTGAAGTTTTCAGAGGCAGAGAAAGACCCGGCTGTAGCTATTTCTGCCTTCTCCTGTCCAAGTCACCAGCGGCAAACCTGAGGGAACTAAGGGGCAGCCCAGCCTTCTCCCCCACGATTCCCCTCAGGGGTCTCACCTAGGTCTGTGTCCCCACTCTCAATGGCTTTACTCAGGGCCAATTTGCTTCTCTTCATCTTCAGCAGAAGTGGCACCTGCTCCCCAGATCGTGGCTCATATTCCAATAGCTGGCGAGACAGAGCAGAAGGAACAGGATGGTAGGTTCAGAGTGGAGGAACAGTGGGAAAGCAGCGGTCATGAAGTCAGCTATTATCATCCTCCCTCTTTACAGATAAGGAAACAAAGCCCCAAAGTCATGCAGGGGCAGAGCTGGGCTCTAGATCCAGCCCAGCACTTCCCTCCCCACAGTGAAGGAAGCATAAGGAGAAGTCAAACTTGAAGGGGAAATGAGAGTGTGTGTGGATGGGGGAGTGAAGGTGGAAGAAGAGAGCCCCTTCGGACCTTGATGGCGAGCTCAGTGCGGCCACAGCCATAGGCGCGGGCAGCGATATCGGAGTAGGAGACCCCTGGCGTATCCCCAAGCTTCTGGTTAATGGCACGAGCAACATCCTCATCAGACACATCCTTCTGCTGCACCTGGGGACGAGGGGAGGGGGTGCAGGGAGTCATTGAGGCCCTCACCCTCACACTATACCCTGGCACTCCGTTTTTTTCTCAGGCTTCCCAGGGCCTCCCATAGTACATCTGGCTCCCTTCTACCTATTGCCAAAGTGCCTCAGGACTCCCTGAAATCCCCCGACTTCTTCTACCTTGTAACAGGCCCAGTGGGCCAGGATGCGACTGATGCCCTGAACCTCAGGAAGTCGAAGGTACTCGCAGATCTGGATGGCCAGAGGATACAGTCGCCGCAACACCAGCCTGGGGGTGAGGAAGGATATGGGCAAAGAGGCATCTGGGAAAAAGACTTCCCCAGCAGCTAACCATCTGTGCCCTCGAGTGGAAAACGCCCCCCAGAACCCTGCCCCATCACCCACCTGTCCAGCAAAACTTCAATAGTGAGCTGCTTGTATCTGGGTAACAGGTAAGGAGCCAAACTAGAGAGGACCCCCTCCACCATCACCTCCCTTTTAATGGAAGGGGATCCCCATGGGACGAGGTCAGCATCTCCCAGGCCCTGGGAGAGGAGGATATTGGGGACACATTCCTGGATACTGGGTGTAGGTGAGGGGGATTCCAATGGGATAGTCCCGCACAGCATTCAGCACCCTCAAGTCCTGACACATGCGCACAAAGGTGTCCGGTGGAAACTTGTCAATGAAACACTTTCCAAAGGAGGCTGCCTGGGATGGAAGGAGGTGTGTGAGAGGGGCTAGCCTGGAAGAAGGAGCCAGTACCACGTCTGCTCTCCCCTTGTGGCCACCCTCCCCTCCCCCTTTCCACTGACCCTGAGCAGGCTCTTCTGCATCTCAGGCTGGTGCTCATGGCCAGCAGCCTCGATACACTGCCGTACTGCCTGGGGCAGCTGTTCCCGCTCCTGGATCTCCCGGAGGTACTCATCTGCTTTCTGGCTTTCCTTCTAAAGGGTGAAGAGGGGGAAGGGCCAGAGTGGTGACAGTGGCTAGGAAGGAGGCAAGTGTCACTGATCATAGCCCCCCCAAGTGCCCTTTCCACCTCCCTCCCTAGTGGTGGGAGTCAGTGAGAGAACAAAGGGAGTAGGCAGCCATCCTAACATGTTAGGGATGAAGCTAAGTTCCTGGGTCCCCTAAAAAGGATCTGCCCAAACATTTCCAAACTCAAGAACTCTTGTACCCTGAGCCTCTCCAGGGCCACAAGTCTCCCACCTTTACATCCTTGGGATGAAGGCGGGGGTAGGGGAGGTGGGATGGCCTGGACTTCAGCCTAAGACTTTCCCCATCCAGCTCCCAGAGGGACCCAGAGCAAAGTCTAGAACTTGAGGCAATTTCTGTGACTCCATCTCCTTCCTGGGTCTTCCGAGCCTTCACGGGAGAGGCCTCTTTCTCATGACCTGTCTTCACAGCGCCTCCACTGCCTTCCCCCTCTGCTCTTACCATATACTTGTCCCCTGGGGCCTCCAGCCACATGACACGTACCAGAAGAAAGCTGCCCAGCCTAGCTATTGGATACTAGGGATGAGGTAGGAAGGAGGCCAGACAAGCCCCAGCATTGATGGGAGGTTGGGGAGGTCACAAGGGGCCAGGGTTTCACCTCATATTCCTTCTGAGCTTCTAGCAGAAGGGCTCCTGGGGCCATAGAGGCAATCCTGAAGATCTCTTCACTGGCCACTGTGGATGTGGGAAGGAACGAATGGTGAGTGTGCAGTGCCTGGGGCCACAGACAGAGGCCCAGCCCTGTTCTCTCCTCAGCACACAGCAAGTACCCCCAAACCAGACTGTGCCCTCGCCCCGATGATCAGAGGCTACCTTTCCCTGGCCCTGTCAAGTCAATAAGCATTTATGAAGCACCACATGCACAGCCCAGTGCTCCGAGTTGGACATAGTTTTGTACCTGCCCTCTGGAGAATGTTTTTTTTCCTGGTGCTCTCATTCTATAGTCTAGGCCTGGCTTCTCTCAGAAGCCCCAGCACCCTTTCTCTATAGTCTGAGTTTTCTCCCCATGAACAGCTAAGACGTTTCCCTCCCAACTAGTCACAGCCCTCACCTGGAACTTCGTGCAAAAACTCATGGCCATTCCGTGAGAAGATCCGGACTCCATCCAGCTCGGGCACTAGGTAGGAATCCTCTTCTAGTACAAACCTGCGGTCTGTCAAGGAAGGCTCAAAAGGGAAACAGGGCAAGAAAGGAACGGGGCAGGGTCCTCCACGAAACTCAGGGGGCCAAGGAGAGGAAATGTGCTCTTCAACCTTCCCGGATCATCCTGTAATGAATGCCCCACAGAGAACCCCCAAGGATACTGGATGCTTTCGGGTGCATCACCAGCCACCAGAAGGCGTCGCTCCCAGGCCACCACAATGGCCTTCTGCTTGCTCTTTGGACGACTACACCTGTCACAGGGGAGACACCTTGTCAGAGGTCACGTAATTCATGCTGCCCTTACACTAGGGCTCGAGGTAAGCAGTCAGTCTCCCTCCGGGTGTCATCCCAGTCGTCCCCGTCTCCCCCTTTACCAGGCCATCTGCTTGGGCGGGGCTCGAATGTTGCAGTTGAACTCGTACAGCTTCTCCTGGAGTAGATCATGGATAATATTAGTGTTCCTCACCTCCTACCAGTCCCTCCCCCTCAGTGCCCCAGAGGTGGTTCCTAAAGAATGGTCAAAGGAGTCCTGGGGTGAGGATGTTCAGAAATTACAGTGTCCCCGTGGCTCACCTTAAGTGAAGCCAGGCCCATCCAAATGTGGCCCGTATCGGTGAATAATGCCAGGTATCGATAATTGAAGGACACAGCCATCTGGAGGAAGTCACTCACTCCTGGAGCCAAACCAGGGGGTACCTGGAAGCACAGCACAAGGGCCCCAGCCCAAGTGAGGAGGGGCCAGCCTTTATCTGTCCCTTAAATACCAGCCATCCTCTTGATCTCATGAGGAGAGGGTGTATCAACGTGCTTGTGTGCAGTCATTTACTCTGGCCCTCCCCACCATGCCCCTGCAGCCCCTGAAGGGGTCATAAAGTACATTCTATTTACTTACCACCCCCGAGCAGGCCGTATTGTCTAACAGGTAGAGGTCAGGACCAATGGCTAAAAGCACAAGGGTCACTCGGTCTTGGAACAAAACTGTCCAGCATGAGGGCAGAGCCTGGAGCCCTAGAAAGAGAAATCAGCATTGGGGAGACTGAGGTTCCAGAGGCCAAGGTCAGGGTAAAGGAGCAGAGCCTCATTCCCCAGCATCCATTCCCGTAAAGCTCTCCCAAATACACTGGCCTATCAGGAAGAGACACATCCACCTCCCTATTGCCCCTGGCACTGCCCACATCTCCAGGCTGGACACAGTGGCACAGTGGAAAGCATCCAACATCTGAAGAGGGGATACCTGGCACCTCAGGCATCCTACGAAGCTTGAGGTCACCCACATTGGCAGTGAGTGTAAAACGATGGGCACCGGTGAGGATAGCGATCCCTGACCCAAACTCCGTGTGGAATACCCGGGCATCCAGAACCCGGTTTTGGAGCACCTCCTGGATAGGCCAAGGGAAGGGAGAAAGGGAGACGCAGTTACTTGCCTAACAGTCTCTCTCAGATGTCCTGAAAGACTCACCCAATCTAGTCCTAGTACCAACTAAGACTCAAGCCTATCTCTGCCCCAGCTAACACTCCTGTACCCACACCCCTCCCTCTAACCTGGCCAACACCCTCCCTCCCCAGCCATTATCAGTCTTGGCCTGTCCCTGCCCCCCACTTCAGGTTCCTACCCACACAGACAATGCCCTGCCCCCCCATCACAATTCTCAGTCTGTTTCACACCTACATTGCCCATGCTGAAATGTCTCCGGAAGTCACCATGCAGCCCATAGACCAGCACAGAGCCATCTTCCTGCACACACAGCAGCTCCTCCTCTGCCGACCAACCCAGTAACACTACCGGCCCACTCTTCCACTGGATGGGGGGAAGTACAGAGAAAGTGAACAAGGCTGATGGGAAAGGGTACAGGAGGAGGAGGAATTCTGGGGTCCCAAAGGGAGGTGGGAGGCGAGGATCATATCTTAGCCTAGGGTTGGCCCAGGATAGTTATGGTCCAAGGGGCAGGCTAGAGGTGGAACCAAAGAGATACATATGCAGTGGGGAGAGAGGCAGCGTGCATGGGTCCCCATATGCTGGAGTTGGAGAACAAGGAGGTGAGCCAGGACCACCCCGGGGCTGGGCAGCATACCAGCAAGCTGGCTAGAGCCACTCCAGAGGATGAATAAATCTGAAGTAATGGTCGAATGCTGGGTGACTTCTCTTTCTTCCAAGGGTTTCTCAACAGAGCTGGGGAAAGGGAGATATTAGCCAGATGCAAGCCCATGCCCTTGCCCTTAGACCTACTCCCTCCGAAGACGCAATCTCCCCCAGGCTGGAGAGTCAGAAGGGCTTCATGGGGCTCAGGATGGAGGGAAAAAAGACCAACAGAACCCAATGGGACAAGGGAGGAAAGACAGGCTCTGTAACAGAACAGCACACATACCAATGGGGCCTCCATAAGGAGCTGCAGCCACCAGGCAGTCTCGGAGGGGTTCCTTCAGGTCCCAGTCCATGCTGTACAGTTCAAACTTCCTGCCATAAACAGCAGAGAGCCAAGATCAGTGTCAGCGCAGGAAGCTTGGGGGAGAAGTCTCTCCGAGTCTACTAAGTTCAGAGTAGATCATAAAAGAGACTCCAAAGGATGCACCATTGGGAAGGAGGAGCCTGCATAGGCCTAGAGAAGACCTAGGTGAGAGAGCAGATACCACCCAAGCCTGGGTACCAAGGAGAAAGGCACCAGCGCTGACTCAGACCTGCCCTCCAAGGGGAGTTCCTATTTTCAGGGGGAAGAATCTGCCTGGGATAGAATGATCCTTCATACACGGAAGAGAGCAACTGAAGAGACAGGAAAAAAAGCTACCCCTAGATGTGGGGGAAGGGGGGGAAGAAAGAAGGGAATATGCATTTATATAGTACCTACTATGTGCCAAGCACTATTCTAAATGCTTCCCAATTATTATCACATATGATCCTCACAAGAACCCTGGGAGGTAGGTACTATTACTATCCCCAGTTTACAGTTGAGGAAACTGAGGAAGACAAAGGTTCAGTGACTTGCCCAGAATCACACAGCTAGAAAATGTCTGCAGCTGGATTTGAACTCAGGTCCTCCTGCCTCCTGGCCCAGCACTCTATCCACTGTATCACCTATTACTACCGGTAGTAGTGTTAAAGTTCTCAGAAACTGTCTGCATTATGCTCTGCCTGTCTCAAATAAAACCAACATACCTCAGGGCTTCAAAAGAAAGTTCTTTAAAGCTAAAAAAAAAAATAGCATCATACATGTAAAGCATTATTTTAGGAAGTACCATGGTGTGTGTTGAGGATAGAGTGCTGGACCTGGAGTCACAAGATCTGACTTCAAACCTTGCCTCATTCATTTCCTAGCTCTGTGACCTTGGGCAAGTCACTTCACCTCTGTTTGCCTCAGTTTCCTCAACTGTTAAATAGGGATAATCACAGTCACCTATTTCACAGGACTGTTGTGAGGAGCAAACGAAACATTATAAAGTGCTGTGCAAATCTTAAATCACTATATACATGTTGGCAATTTGATGATGATGATAATAATGATGATCTGTGTGACCTAGCTCAAGTCACCTCTCTGGGCCTCAGTTTTTTGATCTCTACCCTTTCACAGACAAAATCCTAGAAAAATCTGTCTATACCTATTGCCTATATTTCCTCACTTCCCTTAACCCCTCACTGCACTAAGATGACTGATGAGCTCTGAACTGTCCAACAGATGTTTGCTTCTCAGCCTACTCGTTCTTGACATCTTTGCAGTACTGGGCACTTCTGGTCAGTTTCTCTTCTGTATATTCTCCTCCTCGTTGTCATACTGCTTGTGCTCAGCCTCCTTTGTAAGAACACCAGTCGTATTCCTGCCCTTCTACGTGAAGGGCTAGGTCCTAGGGTTCTGTCCTGGACCCTCATCTCTTCTCCATATCTTTTCCCTTGGTATTCTCGACTCTCATGGGTTTAACCATCATCTCCATGCAGCTCATTCCTAAACCTTTACAATCAGCTCTCATCTCTCTCCTGAGTTCCAGGCCCACATTTCTATCTGTCAGTTTGATCTTTCTACCTGGGTGCCCCAAAAGCATCTCAAACTCAACAGGCTCAAAATATTTTCCCCACAAAGTCCACCTCATCATCAAACTCCCTTACTTTGGTTGAAGACACTACAGTTCTACCAGTCACTCTGATTTGCAATCTCGGAATGATTGTTGACTATTCCTTCTCTTTCACTCCTTGCATTAAGTCAACTGCCAAATCCTGATTATACCTCTCTAACACTTCTCCCATTTCCCTTTCTCTTCCCTCACAGAGCCACTCCCCTAGTTTAAGCCTTCTCACCTGAACTACTGCACCACCTCTTAACTGGTCTCCCTATGGCCAGTCTCTCCAAAGCACTAACCACATCACACCTTGCTCAAAAAGGTTTCAGTGTCTCCCTACTGCCTCTCAAATAAAACATAAAACACAAAATCCTCTCTCTGGCATCTAAAGTCCTTCCCAATCTGCCTCCAACCTACTTTTCTATACTGATTTCACATTAGTTCCTTTCTCATCATCTTCATCCTGGCCAAACTGGACTATCCGCCATTGCCCACAACTGCCAACATTCTCCCATCTCTGTATAAGCATTTCCCCAAGCCAAGAGTGTTTTCCCTCCTGTCTCTGCCTCTTGGAACACCTCTCTTTCTTGAAGGTTGAGCTCAAGTATTGACTCCAAAAAAGGGCCTTTCTTGATTCCTTGAGGTTTTATGTTCCCACCCCCCACCCCCAATACTTTGTGTTTATTTGGACACACTTTGTATTTGAAAGGTAATGTGCTGTAATGGACAGAGAGATGGTTTTAGAGCCAGGAAGACCAGGGTTTGAAGCCCACCTCTGAAACATTCTAGCTGTGTGACCCTGGACAAATCACCTAAACTCTCAGGGATCCACACAACTCTAAAATTGAGTTGCAGAGTAGTGCCAATCTGCTATCTACATGGTAAAGGGAGTTTCCTTATTGGAAGTACCAATGAAATCACAGCTGCATTAAGACAAAATAACTGCACTGACTTGTCTGAGTACATGTTGTTTCTCTGTGGTAGAACGTAAGTTCCTTGAGGGAGCGTTTTGTTTTCGACTTTGGACCCCACAGTGCCTAGCACAGAGTTCCATAGTAAGACACTTCATAAGTGCTTGCTGAATGATGTCCACAGTCCCTTCCAGCCCTAAATCCTAGGATCTCAAGAACTCCTCCTTTATTTCTTCCTTCACACACAGACAAGGAGTAACACGACCAGTCCAACTGCCTCCCAGGAGAAGCCTACCTGGAGGATGGCATGGCAGGAACACGGAACTTGCCTCACATGTGCAAAGTGCATGATAATTTACTGTGGGTTTTCTTGCCTATTCCCTCACTGGGGTCTCTCCACTTCCCTCCAGGGGGAGGCAGGAATCAGGATTTATAAATCAAAGTGATCCCAAGAGTCCATCTACTCCAATCTCCTCATTTGACAGACAAAGAAATTGAGACACAAGGAATGGAAGGGATTTGTCTAAAGTCACACAGGTAGTAACAGAGCTGGGAATCAAACCTGGATTTTCTCACTCCAAAACTAGTGTTGTTTTCACTTGAGTATGCAGCTTCTTACTATCGGTGCACCCTTTTTATGGACAAAGAGGCTCAGAGATATGAAGCTCGGCCAAGGTCCCAGAACTAGCATAATGGAACCAAAAGCAAAGATAAGGTCCCTGGGGCTCTTTCCAACACCCTACACTTTTCCTTAGAAAAGCAAGCAGCTTTGTATGTTGGAGGAGTGTCAGAATCAAGGCCATGAGAATGAAGATATTCTGTATACTGATGCACCCCCGGGTGGTGGTGGGAGGGACAAGGAAACTGGACAGAAGAATCATAATACAAGCAGCCTCTTCTCTCAGAGCTCAGGAATAAAACCAACAACCAGGAGGTGACCTTAATTGGTCCCAGGAAAAGTGACAGGGTAGAATGAACCACAGTAGGGGTGTCGTCTCTCTCTGCCAAAAGCAGAGCAGTGATTAAATAATTAACCAGTAATTAATTAATTAAGATTTGCCTTAATAATTCTGTTCTTGAAAGCTAGTCATCCTCAAAAATTAAGAGAACATATACCCTGGACCTGATTCTCACCAAAAAGAACTAGTAGCTGGCAAAGAAATGACAGAAATCTTTTGGAGAAGTAACTATTCCATCTTAAAATTTGTGAGAGGAAGAAAATGGTAATAGTTTGAAACATATCCTAGATACTAAGGACAAACTCCTTTGATTTGGAGGGGTTTGTTTGTTTTATTTGTTTGTTTCTTTTCGAGGAGGAAGGCAGGGAGGTGTTCTTAGCTAGGTGGTTTTTTATTTTATTTTTATTTTCAGTTCCAAATTCTCTCCCTCTCCCACCCATTGAGAAGATAAGAAATATGTCCTTAGCTATATTTAGGGAAAAAAGGATGAAAGAAATAATAGAACTGGTACTCAGAACGGATGGGACAATGGTGATAGATGAAGGAGGGAAGGCAAAACAACTCAACTTTTATTTTGTTTCTATTTTCTCTTCCAAGGAGAATCTTTGGACTGTAAAGGATGGAACAAATACCAATTGTTCTCACTTTGAGTAAATTCACATTACAAAAATTTGACTTTATGTAAAGAATTCTGAAGGAAATCTTCGTTAAAAAAAAAAAACTCACCTACATTAACTTTACTGTATAGTATCATGCTTTCTCTCTCTGATCCTGCCCCTTGGCTTAGCACTCCATGGCCTCCTACCTCCTGCCCCCGAAAACCAAAAAACAACTTTTAAAAAACCCTCCCAATGAAAGCAGAACAGACTGCAGGGAGATACCACCACTGCCACTGCTGGATTGAGGTTTGCTTGACTTGAGACTTCAGGCACCGAGAGAGAAGACCCTTGCCCTTCAGGTCTGCCTAGTCTACCCCCACCACTCTCCACATATCCAAGTCCCCCTGTGTCTGTCAGCATACAAGTACCACATGTCTGTCCTAGCCTCCATGTTAACATGTGGCCCCCAAGTGTTCTTCCTCTCAGTTCCAGCCAGGCCCTCATGTGGCTGACCCTGGCCCCTACATTCCTTCACCAGTTCTCACTTTGTGGGCAGCCTCCTTCCTGCGCTTCTCCCTCCCTTCCCCATAGGCAAATTCACATTACATAAAAATCTATTTCCATCGAGGTCTACTGAATGGTCCATTTAGGTAAAGCAAGAACTGTCTGTATAGCTAAGAGAGAGGTGATACTCAAGATAAATCATGAAAAAGTAAAAGAACACTTAGAGACTCTTGCTGAATTTAAGCCACCTGACTCAGATGGACATATCCTCAGATACTGAAAAGATCTGGGAGATGTAATTCTTGGGTCACTGTCAATGACCTTTGGAAGATCATGCCTAACAGGAAAGATGCCCAAGAACTGGAGAAAGGCAAACGTCTTTTAGTTAGTGAATATATAGAAAAGGAAACAGTGACCACTGCAAGCAAAGTAGGAATT